GAATATGGAATGTCGCTGGGCCCAGCTGCAATGATCGGCAAGCCTGAGAGTGTTGCCTCCAGTTCTTGAAGTGCAAAAGGCACATTATTACTGTTTCTTATCTGAGAGAAGAAAGTCAAGGGTGCTAACCTCTGAAGACTATTGAGGAAAAGAAATGAGAGGGGCATAGATGGATGCCCCTGAGAAATACGGACCAGATGATTTGCCAATTTCATTGGCAACATCTAGTGGGTTTGCTATATCAAACGGCAACCCAAGACAGGAGCTGGGTCAGGAGAATATTTTACCACTCAGTTTTCGTTAACTTTCTTTTCCAGATTGCACTCATAGAGGAAGCAGAGTTTGGCGATGGTGGTGGAAGGACATAATTCTCGCCAGCCAGTGCGTTTTTAGCGTCACAGATGACACGGCGAGCAATTCACATGCTTCATGCTTAATCAATGATGTATCTTCCATGGTTCTATTGTACCGGTACCTGGCCCTAAGCAGCGCGTTTCAAACTTTACTGCACGAGCACAAGCAGGAAAGACACCAAGGCACGATTTCTGAGAATGCCCCTGCCGAAGTTTGCGCTCGGGTATAGAATGAGATAGCTGCGGTTTTTTTAAAACGGAGGATGAGAAGAGGTTTGTGGTTTTTTTTTTTTATAAGCTCATCAATGGAAGGGGACGAAGGAAGGACTCACTAAAACCAGTTAGTTGTGAGTAAAGGTTCCAATTTGCCTGATCAAATTGCCAGCATGATAACGGATACGAAGAGGTGGAGAATTGAAGGGGAAGTAGAATGTTTGGGAAAATATCTGTCAGTAAATCCGGGGAGAACAGATCAGATTAAGTCTAATGCGGCGGAGAGGAAGAGGAAGAGCAGATGGGTGATCGATGAAACTGAGAGAGAGTGAGTCCGAGGATCAATAATGGGTGCTAGTTCACCTATATTTAAAACATGGAGGGGGTGGGTAACAAGAAAAGCCTCTAACTGAATGCCACGGAAATCACAGTGAACCCCCCCCCCCTCCAGAGGAAATGATGGGCATTAAAATCGCCAAGTAACAGAAGTGGTGGCGCTAATGACGAAACAAGAAAGGCAGTATCCAGAATAGATAATGCCCGAGAAGGAGAGAGATAAAAAGAACAGAGCGTATACCACCTATGCAGGTGGATACGGGCTGCTGTGTAATGCAGCGAAGTACGAACAAATAGCTGATGGTACGGAATATCAGTGCGTAGAAGAAGGGCACTTTCATTAAAGGTCCCATCAGGAAAAGGATCTGAAGAATACAATAAATTATAGCCTGAGATGGGATAGATAACAGCAGAGTGTAATTTTGGTTCCTGTAAGCAAACACCAACAGGGGAAAACTGGGAGAGTAACATCTGAGGCTCACCCCGATTACCCCTGAGGCCGCGTATATTCCACTGTAAATAGGCCATGATTGGCAATGATAAAGATTCCTGAAATCCGCAGGTAAAGGTTCCTACAGACGAGAGGGGTTAGAAAAGTCCACATGCGGAGGCAGCGGAAAAAGTTCAAGCAGCGAAGGAACGGTGCGCTGTGAAGAAAGGAGTTGCGCAGATGGAGGAGAGGAGAGAGAAGGAACAGAGGGTGGATCAGTGTCCATTGATGGTTTGGACTCTGCAATATATTCAGAGATTGCTTCAGAGACGTTGCATGGGAGACAATATTGAGATGGTAGGGGGAGGATGAGTAAAGATTGGAACTGCAATGGACTGTACCAAGGTAGGGGGGTGAAAGGGTGGAGGGAACTGGAGAAGAAGCGTGGAAGGGGACAGAAGAGGCAGAAGAGGAAGAAACTTGGGAGGGAACAGGGGAGGAAGGTACAGTACAAGGAGGAGGGTGAACCTCTACACTTGTAACAGAGCCAGTGAGAGGGGAAGAACCAGGTACAGAGACAGGGAAGGTAAAATGAGGAGGTGGAAGAAGGAAAGGAGGGGTTAAAGGACCTTTTTTTGACTTCCGAGAAGTAGAGGGACGATTGGGAGGAGGTGTCGTACGAGATCTCGTCGATACTGAGGCTTGTGAGGGAGAACATGAAGAAGCGTGAACAGACTGAGTCGTTGAAGTAGAGACGTCTGAGCCTAGGACAGCAAAAGAATTAGATACAGGAGTGACTATGGGAGAGGTAACCACAGAGGAGGCTGCAGAAGATGGGACCCCAGAAGTGGGGGGACATTTTGAAACACGAGGTAGTCTCCCTTGGAGGCGGAGATGAGAAACTGCCATGGCATAAGTGAGACCTTCTGCCTCTTTGAGGTAACGGATTTCCCACTCATTTAAGTAGACTTGGCAACGGCGAGAGTACGAAGGGTGAGCCTCATAACAATTAAGGCAAGAGGGAGGCCGATTGCAAGACGTATTAGAATGGTCATAGGCACCACAGACTGGGCATTCGGCTATGGATCTGCAATATTTCACTGGATGGCCAAATCGCCAGCAATTTCTACACTGTTGTGGTGTAGGGATCACCTTTCGAACTTGTAACCGATGTCCTGCTACATAAACTGAGGATGGGAGTTCACGGCTGTCAAAAGTTAAACAACAAGCCACATTGCTAGGGTATCGTCTCCGCCCATGGGCAGGAAGAACATAAGTGTCTACCTTGAGGATTGGGAGATCTTGGAGTTCCAGCTGTTCAAGAATGTCATTGCCACATGTCTGGAAATTTTGTTGAACTATGGTATGGGGCAGAATGACGGTACCACTACAAGAATTGAGGGAATGATGTTTTTCAATAGTGACAGGAACAGTATCAATATGGGAAAGAAGAGAAAGATCATGAGCTTGGGTAGCATTCTGTACAGTGATGATGCGCATACCGCTCTTAAGAGCATGAAAAGAAATATCTTTACCAACATGGCATAGGAGTGCCTTGCCAATACTGTGGTTGGAAAGATAGGCAGTAGAGGAAGTCGGTCGTAAAGTGAAGAATTTAGTTCATTGTGCATTCTGAAACTGAGCGTGGAAAGGGACTGCAGGACGTGTCGATCTTTTCTGAGAAGAACGAGACGGTGGAGAAGTATCATCAGCAGGTAATTGTCGTTGGCGTTTAGGCGTGGGACCAGAGTTGGTCCGACGTGGAATGGGCCGGCGATTCGAAAATTGCCGCACCGTAGAGGGAGAGGCCGGAAGCATAGTCAAAGGAGAGCGGAGGTCAGATAAATCGAAGGAGTCAGTCGAGACCTCAGTACCTGAAGCGGGTGAGGAAACAGCACCAGCAAAAGGTACAGGTGCATTAGGAGTGTCCGAAGAGTGGTCCAAAAACGAGGCGGGGTCAGAACGGGGTGCGGTATCAAGAAGGGGCCCGGGGGTATCAGGTTCATGGACTGGGGCTGCCATGGTTAGGTTATTTCTTTCTTTTTGTTTTTAAGAAAAAAATAAAAGAAAAAAAAGAATAAAAAAAAAGGGGGGACGGGAGGGATAGTTCCTAGGAGGAATGAAAGGGCCAGAAATCTCCCTCCGCACCCAAGAGGACCTCAGCACCGCTAGTAACGTAGATGCAGCATGGAACCTGTGCCATACCCTACCCATCATGCCAGTAAACTAGTAATCCGGTATAGCAACCTCACATCTGCCGAGCTACCTCGGTGGACAAAAGAGAGGGTGGCCGGATATCCGCCACAAAGCATACCTCCTTCAGCCACCACCCCCGGAATCCGAAAGGTGGCTTCCAGAGATACACCCGTTGCCCGAGACACACCCAAAGCCACCCTCCGAGATACCGGAGAAGGATCGGGACATCCCCAGGCAATCCAGATTCCACGGCAAACTACGCCACCGCCAAGAACCTCAACGGAATGGGATGGACCCCGGTACCCTTTCCCCTACCTAGGAACTAGTGTGCCTGTGGGAAAAAATCCCGAAGGGCAAAAGGGAGGGGTGGTGAAGAGGAGGAGGAAAGGAAAAGGGAAGGATGGGATAGGGAAGGGGGGATTGGGGGGTAATTAGGTTCGGTCTGAGGAAGGAGAACGACAGGTCTAATTCCTCAGACCAAGAGCCTCTTCACCACGCCAAGGAGCCCCCCTTGAAGAGGAACAATAGCAATAAACCCTCACACTTCATAGTGTATTTGCAATACCAGTTTACCAGGTAAACTGATGCACAGATATTTATGAAGAAGAAAAAGGGTATATAAACAGTCGTCTCATGGACAGGTGCAGTTCGGGTCTGCTCTCTCAATATGTATATAAACATTGTCTTCAGCAAGCTTACATTTGAGCACAGTAAGTTTATTCAGGCACAGGTACACTTAAGTACAGTTATCATAGATTGTGTAAATTACTTAGGATAACCCAAAAAAGTCAAATTGACATATTACATACCTTTGATAAGTTTTGAGAGTCTTACTACTCTCAGAGCCAGGCTCGTCATGCTATCCAGGTCAACCAGGTTGTTGTTGCCCACTGCCCCACATATCCATCACAGCCTGGTTCATCTGGCATGGGGTGAAGATACTTGTCCAGTTTTCTCTAAAACTTCTACACTTGTTTCAGCAGTGTTTCTGATATCTTCTGGTAAGATGTTGAATAATATAGGGCCACGGATGTTAATACAGTGTCCCCTTATTGTGCCCACTGCACTTCTGCTTTTTCACTGGGTTTATTTTGCACTTCTTCCCATATCTCTCTCTCCAGTATATTATGGCAGTGTGCAGATTTGGGACCAAGCCCATGAGTACTTTTCAGGTATATATTATAAAGTATCTTTCTCCTCCACTTCAGTGAGTACATGTTCAAGACATTAAGGAGTTACCAGAAGTGGAACCATGTTAGTTGAACTATATGAAGCGTTAGTCGAAAAAATGCCGCAGTAGCGTAATGGAGAAAACATGTCAGAGGAATGTGTGTTAATTGATGGTCTACTGTATTTCCTAAATACAGTATGCATAATAGTGATGCATAATAAATCTCTTACATATGATTAACATGGCTTGAGTTAAATGTTTTTTATTTACCATTGTAAATAAACCTTTATATTTTTTCCAGGGGTCCAACAGAACCAGTCCATCTCATCTGTCTTTATGGAGAAGAAGTGATCACAGGCACTACTGCTAACCGCATTGGAGTTCACACTTCTGTTTCCCCTACTGCATCTTTCTCCTCTACAAGATTACGCTCGGACACATTCCGAGGTGTTTTAACTACAATGGCTGTTTTACCACTCAATCGATTACTACTTCTTGGAGCTGATAATGGGACTATAAGACTACTGTGTTAAAATACCTTGCTTAAATTAAACTCATACCATTACTATACTTAGTGACCCTAATCTCTGTAAATCCATTCCCCTCACAATAAATTAATTATTTTTATAATACAATTAGTCTTGCAATGTAAATATTTAACTACATGCTTAAAAAGAAACACAGTGTAAATTGTGCTTTAAATTTAGATTTTCAGTGCATGTGTCTTTCAAAATTTAAATTATAATTCTGTTATATGATTTACATTCAGGATTTTATAATGGTATCCTACTGATATTAACCCTTTGACTGTCGAAGGGCCCAATCCTGAAGTGTCTCCTGGTGTCGCAAAATATTCGAAAAAAAAAAATTATTTTTTCTTATGAAAATGTTAAGATTATTTTTCTGATTGTTTTAGTCCCCCCAAAAAATTTTCCCATCAGTACTTACCGAGATATAGAGGCATGAAGTTTGCAGAAAATGAGCCGCGTATGGCAACAGCGGCGACTGCTGCTCACCCGGTAAACTTTAGTTTACTTGTATTTGAAGGTTTGTTGTTTTTTTCACTATTTTATTTTTTCACATAACTTATGTGGCCTGTGAGACCAAAGTAAGGTGCAGTGTACATATATACACTCGTTGTATACAACACAATAAGCACACAAACATAATTATCAATATATTGTTTACAAAACTTGTTTACAAAAACAAACAATACAAAAAATTGTTTATTACTATTGTTCTATAATATATATACCAATATACAGTCACTGAACATACTCCTAGAAGTTCTGCAGCTTGTAGAACTCTGTGAAACATGGTGTCATACACAGTGGTGTTTTACACTCTCACACATAAAACGGTGTCATACACAGTGGTGTTTTACACTCCTCACACATAAAACATGGTGTCATACACAGTGGTGTTTTACACTCTCACACATAAAACATGGTGTCATACACAGTGGTGTTCTACACTCTCACACATAAAACATGGTGTCATACACAGTGGTGTTTTACACTCCTCACACATAAAACATGGTGTCATACACAGTGGTGTTTTACACTCTCACACATAAAACATGGTGTCATACACAGTGGTGTTTTACACTCCTCACACATAAAACATGGTGTCATACACAGTGGTGTTTTACACTCTCACACATAAAACATGGTGTCATACACAGTGGTGTTTTACACTCCTCACACATAAAACATGGTGTCATACACAGTGGTGTTTTACACTCTCACACATAAAACATGGTGTCATACACAGTGGTGTTTTACACTCCTCACACATAAAACATGGTGTCATACACAGTGGTGTTTTACACTCTCACACATAAAACATGGCGTCATACACAGTGGTGTTTTACACTCTCACACATAAAATCAGTGTGTGTGCATTTTTGTTGAATTTTTTTTTATGTGCAAAGACAAAATACCTCGTCTGAGCAGTTTTCTTCAAAGTATTAGCAGGCAGTTGTGTCATGTAGTTATCCTAGGTAAATGGTCGTGTGTCATCATTCCTTCCTTCCTAATTTCCTTCATTCCTTTCCTACCTGGAGGGCATTCCACCTCTCTTCCTACATTCCTTCATCTGTCCTTCATTACTTTTTTCCTTCCTTTCATCTAGTCCTTCCTTCATTCCTGCCTTCCCTTCTTGCTTCTGGTTTCTATAATATATATACACATATATAGTCACTAGATACTTTCATAAAACTGCTATTATCACCCTTCAGCAAGCTTGTCTTGTGTGCGAGTGTGTGGCTTATAATTGTTTTGAGTCAGGAGTCGGCAGCTGTCAAAATGACATATTGTCTCATTAGTCACTCCCCCTACCGCCTGTCAAAACAATGGGGTCGGATGCTGCTTCCCCCTCCATTCTATCTAATTATCTTTCTCCCTCATTCTATCTCTTTCAATCTGTCTCTCTTTCTCTCTGTCTATCTCTGTCTCACAGGTACACATAAATACAACTATACATAGTGTAAATTACCTAGGATAACCCAAAAAATCCAGACAAAGTGCTATACTCTGCTTGAAGATGTGAGTAAACGTGATGATGACACAGTCTTGTGGCTCTCTCTGAGACAGAGCTAGACGGATAGACAGGGAGTTTGGCAGACAGACAAATGTTTGTTCGTCGTCATCATCATCTTCATCTTCATCTTCATCTTCATCTTCTTCTTCATCTTCTTCTTCATCTTCTTCTTCATCTTCTTCTTCATCTTCTTCTTCTTCTTCTTCTTCTTCTTCTTCTTCTTCTTCTTCTTCTTCTTCTTCTCCTCCTCCTCCTCCTCCTCCTCCTCCTCCTCCTCCTCCTGGCTCTTGACAGATGGACAGCTGCCCCCCTCCCTCCACCCTCGTTTATGCTCATCAAAGGTCAGCTCTTACCAGATGTTATCTCCCCTTATCTTGTCACTGTCATGGGGTGAACTGTTTTCATGCCTCAAGGGAACATATTATTATTATTAGGTATTATTATTATTCTTATTCTTCTTCTTATTCTTATTCTTCTTCTTCTTCTTCTTCTTCTTCTTCTTCTTCTTCTTCTTCTTCTTCTTCCTCCTCCTCCTTCCACCTTCCTCCTCCTCCCTCCTTCCTCCTCCTCCCTCCTTCCTCCCTCCCTCCTTCCTCCTCCTCCCTCCTTCTTCCTCCTCCCTCCTTCTTCCTCCTCCCTCCTTCCTCCTCCCTCCTTCCTCCTCCTCCCTCCTTCCTCCTCCTCCCTCCTTCCTCCTCCTCCCTCCTCCTCCCTCCTTCCTTCTCCTCCCTCCTTCCTTCCTCATCCTCCTTCCTTCCTCTTCCTCCTTCCTTCCTCCTCCTCTTCTTCCTCCTCCTCCTCCTCCTCCTCCTCCTCCACCTCCTCTATTGCTTTTAGTCTCAAACTCCTCGAAATCATGAAATTGATCTTCATTGACACTTCCATCTGTGTTAGAGCATCACTTGGGAAGAGAAGAGTCCCAGATTTCCAGGGAAGTCACATATTTCTTACCGCTAGACATGCTGAAAAAGGACGACTGAAATGGTATTCCCACAATGCACCACTGGCTCCCCGATTTTTTTTATATGGTGCACACTGACCATGGAGACCCATTCTCTCACATGTGGGCCTACCAGCTTTCTCCTGCTTGATTTGAAGCCGCTAGAATTTATGCGTATAGATACGTCAAACACTGTATCTCCTATGACGTACATATACGACCGCGACAGTCAAAGGGTTAATAGTATTTATTTTCACAGCATATAAAACATTTATGTTTGAAATATATACTGTAATATGTATATAACACAATACATACACAGCTAGCTAGCTTTCAATATGATGAAGAACAGTAGAAATATTATTTGTATATTTTTAGTTATAATATGGTACAGAGCACTTCAAATCCTGCATAGGATTCAATGATGCATTACAAAATTCCATGACATTGACATTAACAAAAATTAATCTTATTGGGATTTAAACAAAACAGTAGATAATACTTGTGTATGTTTAGTTACTCATGCCATTTGGTGTGTAGCTAAGATTTTTATATTTATTTTGAGTATGTGGAAGAGTAAAACTGTAAGAGATCAAACAAAGAATTAGAAGAAAAGCTTTAGTTTATAGTTGCTCATGCCTCACTGTACATAATTAATCTCATTTAATTAAGTGCTAATGACAATTTGTTGTTTTTTTGCATTCACTTATTTTAATCCTGAATGGACAGAATGAATTTTTCAAAAATTAAATTCTTAATTCTCTAATAACCCACATTTTTGAGAGGAAACTATAAACAAAATTTTGGTCCCTCATGATAATAAGTAGAAGATTGTCATTTGTTTTGCCACAGTATTATGACTATTACTCTTGATGTTGGTGAGGGGCTCTTGATTTAGGGAATTGGATCTGTGCTCCAGTTCCCCGAATTAAGCCTGAATGCCTTCCACATCCCCCCCCCAGGCGCTGTATAATCCTCCGGGTTTAGCGCTTCCCCCTTGATTATAATAATAATAATAATATGACTATTACTGTGTATGTGTAATGCCAATATTAGGCTTCATGACTGTAATTATCATATAATCTACGTGCTGTATATGTACAGTGAATTATTATTATAATCAAAAAGAAGCGCTAAGCCACAAGGGCTATACAGCTCTGTACAGTGAAATCTCTTGTTCTCAACTTCACAATGGATGGACAAAATTATCATCATAAGTCTCCTCTCTTAGGTGCAGGATATTTGTGAACTGTTCCAGCCACAGTATTGACTTTATGTAGCTTTAACATTAAAAGAAAAACAGATATTAGGTGATATGATGTACTTTTTAACTTATTTTATTACTGTACATCTTGTTAATTTTATCCACTCATAATGTTATAGTTCTAAATAAAGTAAGAGCTTATTAGTGATACTGTATTTTCTAATATAAGTGTGTATATATGGTATTAAAATATATTTATAAGACAGTGTTTACTATGGTACTACATTCGGTTAATTTCATTCACAATGCCTACCAAGAAATACAGTGGTACCCAGAGTTTCAAACTTTCTTCGTTCCAGAAGGCTGTTCAAGTATGGATACCAAACGAATTTGTTCCCATAAGGAATAATGTAAATTAATCCGTTTCAGACCCTCAAAAATACACTTACAAAAGCACTTACAATAATACACTTACATAACTGGTCGAGTTGGGAGCAGTTCGAAACTCGGGGTACCACTGTATAAAAAACTGAAAATTATTAAAATTAAAAGATACATATTTTTTTTTTTTCAACAAGTCGGCCGTCTCCCACCGAGGCAGTGTGACCCAAAAAGAAAATATTTTCATCATCATTCAACACTTTCACCTCACTCACACATATTCACTGTTTTTGCAGAGGTGCTCAGAACACAACAGTTTAGAAGCATATATGTATAAAGATACACAACATATCCCTCCAAACTGCTAATGTCCCAAAACCCCTCCTTTAGAGTGCAGGCATTGTACTTCCCATTTCCAGGACTCGAGTCCGGCTATATAAAAATACCCGGTTTCCCTGAATCCCTTCACTAATTATTACCCTGCTCACACTCCAGCAGATCGTCAGGTCCCAAATACCATTCGTCTCCATTCACTCCTATCGAACACGCTCATGCACGCCTGCTGGAAGTCCAAGCCCCTCGCCCACAAAACCTCTCTTACCCCTTCCTTCCAACCTTTTCGAGGACGACCCCTACCCCGCCTTCCTTCTACAGATTTAAATGCTCTCCATGTCATTCTACTTTGATCCATTCTCTCTAAATGACCAAACCACCTCAACAACCCCTCTTCAGCCCTCTGACTAATACTTTTATTAACTCCACACCTTCTCCTAATTTCCACACTCCAAATTTTCTGCATAATATTTACACAACACATTGCCCTTAGACAGGACATCACTGCCTCCAACCGCCTCCTCGCTGCTGCATTCACAACCCAAGCTTCACACCCATATAAGTGTGTTGGTACTACTATACTTTCATACATTCCCTTCTTTGCCTCCATAGATAACGTTTTTTTGACTCCACATATACCTCAGCACACCACTCACCTTTTTTCCTTCATCAATTCTATGATTAACCTCATCCTTCATAAATCCATCCGCCGACACGTCAACTCCCAAGTATCTGAAAACATTCACTTCTTCCATACTACTCCTCCCCAATTTGATATCCAATTTTTCTTTATCTAAATCATTTGATACCCTCATCACCTTACTCTTTTCTATGTTCACTTTCAACTTTCTACCTTTACACACACTCCCAAACTCATCCACTAACCTTTGCAATTTTTCTTTAGAATCTCCCATAAGCACAGTATCATCAGCAAAAAGTAACTGGGTCAATTCCCATTTTGTATTTGATTCCTCATAATTTACTTCCACCCCTCTCCCGAATACCCTAGCATTTACTTCTTTTACAACCCCATCTATAAATATATTAAACAACCATGGCAACATTACACATCCCTGTCTAAAGCCTACTTTTACCGGGAAGCAGTCTCCCTCTCTTCTACACACCCTAACCTGAGCCTCGCTATCCTCATAAAAACTCTTTACAGCATTTAGTAACTTACCACCTATTCCATATACTTGCAACATCTGCCACATTGCTCCCCTATCCACTCTATCATATGCCTTTTCTAAATCCATAAATGCAATAAAAACTTCCCTACCTTTATCTAAATACTGTTCACATGCTTCAATGTAAACACGTGATCTACACATCCCCTACCCACTCTGAAACCTACTTGCTCATCTGCAATCCTACATTCTGTCTTACCTTTCTTTCAATAATAACCCTACCGTACGCTTTTCCTGGTATACTCAATAAACTTATTCCTCTATAATTTTTACAATTTCTTTTGTCTCCCTTCCCTTTATATAAAGGGGCTATACATGCTCTCCGCCAATCCCTAGGTACCTTCCCCTCTTTCATACATTTATTAAACAAAAGTACCAACCACTCCAACACTATATCTGGAGAATATTACTAATTATAAAATATTCTGTGATATACATTTTTGTGTACCATTTTGTTATATGTATACTGTGTTATAACAGCCACAATTACCTCCTGCCACACTGGTGGCAGGAAAAAAGAAAAAATTCTAACAAAAATAACTTCTATATTGGTAATTATTATACAGTAAGCCCTCCATTTAATTGTAATGAGGCTCACCCGGCTTATTCTCTCCATTGTCAAATTGTCTTAAAGAAATGAGAAATTCACTGTCTCAAAGAGAAAGGTTTCTCTTAAACCATAGCAGTCTCCCATCTCTGCCTGCAAGTGAGACTTCCACAGTTGTCTTATTTTAGTTATTATTATAATCAAAAAGAAATGCTAAACCTACAAGGGTTATACAGCATAGCAGGGCAGGGAAGGATGTAGAGGTATTGGGTAGCAAGAGACTGAGGTAGAAAGGGCTGTGAGGAGTGCTAGAGTCATCATCATCAGAGTTTGTGCAGTAAATCACCTGCTGTCAAAAAGTCAACGAGAGTCTGGGTTAAAGGAGGGTCCATCAGCAAGAAGGGGAGGTAAAGTAAGGGCAGCAGAGTAGTGACGACATTGGATATTCTAGAGTTACTCGACAACCTCAATCCTCGGTGGTATCTACTTCCATGATTTCCTCTGTCGTCCCAACTTCCACAGCCACCTCTGCATCTAATTCTTTTGCAGTCCTGGGCTTCAAGGCCCCTACCTCATCAACTCCCACTGTCCATGCATCTTCATCTTCTCACTCGCATCTTTCTATGTCTACACAACCTCCCACACCTACACCATCACCTTGCGTCCCTACTTCTCCAAAGTCTAAAACAAATCTCCTTTAACTCCTCCATCACTTATCCTTCCCAAAGATTTTCCTCTTCCAGTCTCTGGCAGTCAGTGGTGATGTCATCAGCCAGTCATTTACTATCAACTTCACAGCTCTATATCTTGGTAAATACTGAAGGGAAATTTTTGTTGTTTCATTACCTTCACTAAAATATACTAGTATTAATCCATAAGAATTTTTTTTTAATTCTTGGACCCTGAGAGCAATTTTTAGATCAGGGGTCTGGACCCTGGAAAGATGAAAATAAAGAGGAGCATCTCAAAATATATACAGGTCAGCCACCACTAATCCAGCATCACTGGGACTTGCAGTGTGCCAAATTAGTGAGTTTGCCCGGATTACAGTGTGGTTTGGTTAGAATACACTTAATTAACCTATCAATAGACTGCTACATCTCATTTTCATCACTGCTTTCTCCTCCACTGGCTTGCTGCTGTGGATTTACAATCTGCACAATTTCTGAGTCAGTATCATGATGAAATTTGAAATTATGCTAGCCGAAATTAGTGCCAAATTACTGATGAAACCGGATAACTGATTACCAGATTAGTGATGGTTGACCTGTATCCATCAATAGTAACTATTCTTAATTCAGTATTTGCAAAAAGTGCTACACCTCAATCAACACCAATCTATTTTCCTGAGACTAACTATAGCTTATTTTAAAGTTATATTTCTGAACTATCCCAGAGTTTTTCAAATTCACTTACAAATCTGCTTACCAAGTGTGGATGATTAGTAATAATGACATTTTCATGATTACTTATAACTGCACTCCAAGTATAATTAAATGAACCTGTCATTAATACACCATCAAAAGTGTCCTCTTGATGAACAGTTTTGCAGAAAGGAATCTTGCACTGAATGTTACCTTTGTTAGTATCATCATACATATGGTAAGAGGACTCAGAGTGTTGCTCTGGTGCATCTATTACAGCAAATTTGTGGTGCATAAGCAGGGCAGGAGTGCTGAAGCGAAACAATATATTGTGCTGATGAAGGACATTAATGGCAGCCTCACTACAACTTGCCATTCCCCTCTCTAAGAGCACCTTCACTTTAACACCACGATACTGAGGAAGCAAACAATATGAGAAATGTACACATCATATATTCTACTCTACATGAAATAAAAACAAATAAACAGTAATTTACTGAAAACTATTTTATTCATTTGCAAATAACTTGTACCTAGAAAAGGAAACCTAAGATGATATTTCAGTCCATCCTGGACAATTAAATTATCATGAGTGAGGAAAAACATAGAAGGCTACAGGAGGGAGGGAGGGAGGGGAAGGTAGTAGTAGTGGTGGTAATGGTTGTGGCAGCAACAGCTGCAGCAGCAGCAGCTGTGGAGAACACGATATTCAGTGGTAATAAGTTCCAGCTGCTTAGATATGGAAAGAATGAACTCAGAAGAGATACTGTACACAAAATTTAGCCAAGAGTATTACTGTACCATCAATCAAAACGAGAAATAAGTAAAAGACCTGGGAGTAATCATGTCAGCTGACCTTTCTTTCAAAGCACACTAAAGCAAATGCCACAACAGCCAGGAAAATAACCATAGATAATAAGAACTTACCAAGCAAGTGAAATTGTGCCAATGTTTATACATACTATTCAAATCACTAGTGTTCTCTCACTTAGTAAAACAATTAGCATTAGTAGTAATACAATTAGCAGTAGTAGTACAATTAGTACTAGTAATAGTACAATTAGCAGCAGTAGTACAATCAGTAGTACTAATAGTACAATTAGTAGTAGTGGTATAATTAGCAGTAGTAGTAGTACAATTAGCAATAGTAGTATAGTACAATTAGCAATAGTAGTACTTGTAGCATTAGCCATAATATAGTAGCAATGCAGTAATAATGGTTAACTAGTGGTAGTATTGTCAACTACAACTACTAATTCTACTACCACTGCCACTATGACAAATACTACTACTGTCCTTGCCCTTCCTCTTGTCTTCTCTTTCTCACACAGTTGTAACTTGACAGTGGTCCACAATGGACCAAACTGTTGTCATAAATTTCCTATCCTAATTAAGTGTTTTTTGTGAATTATTTCAACCACAGTATTGTGAATTTTAGTTTGTGTTAGATAGGAATGAGTAGAAACAAATGGTTTTTGGAACTTAACAAGCTGTTGGAGTGTGAGTAGGGTAATATTTTGTGAAGGGATTCCGGTTAGCTGGATTCGAGTCCTGGAGGTAGGAAGTACAATGCCTGCACTTTAAAGGAGGGGTTTGGGATATTTGCTTTTAGAGTGATGTGAATGATGGTGAAAGTGTTTCTTTTTTGGGTCACCCTGCCTCGGTGGGAGATGCCCAGCATGTTGAAAAAATATAAATATGTATAAATAATATGTATATTTTGTTTTTAACATGTTGGCCATCTCCCACCAAGGCAGAGTGACCCAAAAAAGAAACACTTTCATCATCATTTCAACGCTTTCACCATCATTCACACATAATCACTCTCTGCAGAGGTGCACAGATACAATAGTTTGGATGTCATTCTCAGTGAATCTGCTGAGATTTCTTACTCATTTCTGCAATGCTGCAAGCTCCTGATGTGTTGACTGCAACACAAAAGGCCTAGAGCTATCATTCAACTCCTCATGGTTGCTTTACACATACACTGGGAGGTCATGGGAGATACGGGAAATAATAAGGGAGGCAATACCTATGTATAAACAGGACAGAGATGCAATGGGAGGAGGAGAGGGAGAAGTCAATCTTCATACATGGGGCTTCAGGAGAGTGAAGGGAGGACATATGATGAAAGATGGTAGAGAAAAGAGAGAGAGAGAGAGACTGAAGATATCATCAAACAAACAGGAGAGGAGGACATAACTGAGCTGATAAATTTTCAGAGAATAGGGGGATGTGTGAGGGGAAGAAATCAGCCAGTCAAAATGATTTTCAAGACAGAAATGATGGTAAACACAATCCTGCAGCATTCACCACCCATGCTTCATACCCATATAAAAGCATTGGTGCCACTATACTTTCATACATTCCCCTCTTTGCTACTGAGAGGAATTGACAAGGTGAACAGACAGAATGTTCCAGAGATGGGACAAAGCTACAAGGGGTCACAACTGGAAGTTGAAGACTCAGATAAGTCACAGGGATGTTAAGAAGTATTTCTTCAGTCACAGAGTTGTCAGGAAGTGGAACAGTCTGAAGAGTGATGTAGTAGAGGCAGGCTCCATACACAGCTTTACAAAGAGGTATGAGAAAGCTCATGGAGCAGGGAGAGAGTGCACCTAGTAGCAAAAGTGAAGAGGTGATCCAGGAGCTATGAATTGACCCCTGAAACCACAATTAGGCAAGTACACGTGCATACACACACACTAACCTTTGCTCTTATAACTGCATCCAGCAGGTCCTTGCAAGTCAAAACATAAATGCATATAACTAGAGATTTCTTGGCTGACTCCAGTACATTAATCATATGGATGAGTGATGTGCTGCTCTCCAGGTACCCAGATGGCTTCAAAATTTTACTGTCAATGATTGTGGCATTTTGTTGTTCACCACACTGCTCTGCTCTTCCTTCATCATGATGACTGGTCAATGTGTTGAAATCATTTCCATGGATAAGAAAGGAGTTTCTCGTAGGCATAACCTCAAAATTATTTTTATCATTACAATTATTTACCTTTATGGATTTTTTTTGTTTCTGATCTTCCATTTCATATATGTCACAAAACTGCACTTTTCTGTCACATTCTTTGCTTGACCTGCATATATCTGGATTACTACCAACTTGGACCTTTAGCTGCTGTTTAGACACAATGCCATAATCAGGAAAAAAAATAACTTTGCTGAAAATCCTTGAATTGTCTGTCACTGTGTTAATGTTCATTTGGTAGTGTGTTTCTTTCTGTCTGGAAAAAATTAAGTAATAAATGTGCTTAAGGCACCTGTTAATTAATTCACTACCAACTAAAACACAAACTCCTATGGCACAATACTTAAATAATGACATTTTCTTTTATAGATTTTGAATAAACCTTCACTTCAAAACATTCATATTGATGCGCAACATGTGTAAAGCAGCCTATACAAGGTTTGGATTGTGCGGCTTCAGTATCTAGTAGTGTAGTGGTAATCTTTCACTACCAGTAGTCTAGTAGTCTCTCTCTACCAGACATTCTTCCACTACTCTGGACAAGTTTGGATTCTCCAATGCTGCAGCTACTCTCTCTTTGTCATTGATTTGTTTATTAACTGAAAAACAAAAAAATAAATGCATATAATGAGAGATTATCATTATCTGAAAAAAATGCACTAAACCCATTACAGTATACATATACACTTGCAATGAAAACTTATAAACGAAGTACTACTAGCACTCTTAAGTTTTTTTTTTGGTCAGGATTTTAAAAGAATCATATGATACAATAATGTGTGTAGCAACTATCACATATTGATATAAAAGTACAGTACAGTATCCAATGAATTGTACAACATTATTATGTTAAATAAAAATGTGTCATATTGCTACAGAGAATTTAGTAGCAATTTAGAAAAATGATGGACTTTTTTTATAAATTTTCACCATTGCTTAAGATTTCAACTTCACAATAACCCTTTGACTGTCGCAACCCCAAATCCTGAAGTGTTTCCTGGTGTCGAAAAACGTTTGAAAAAAAAAATATCATTTTTTCTTATGAAATGACAGAATCTTTTCCAGATGGTAATGACACCAAAAGTATGAAATTTGATGGAAAACTTACGGAATTATGCTCTCACGAAGTTAGCGACCGTGGCGATATTTACGAATCGGCGATTTCGCCCACTTCAAGCCTATTTTCGGCTAATTCCAGTCAACCAAACTCATAGCTATTTCTTTAGAACTCCATTTGTTCTATCAATTGAATACAAGAAACTGCCCATTTACCGATTTTAACAACCCAATAAAGTGGTCAGAAATTGGCAATTTGGCCAATTTCACGCAAATTAAAAAATATGCCAATTTCAAAATAGGGTCCAGAATGATCAATGCAGACATTCCTGGCTCTAAAATAACATTTTCTTTCTTTATCAGTCACATCTCTAGGCCCCTCTGATATTACTCTTGCTTTCTATTTTGAATTTTTATTCAAACAAAAAATAGAAGATTTACTGTTATGCAGACTACTGAAATATTGTAATATTTGTATAAATAATGTCAACCCATTCATGACTGCATATTAGAATGGCTAGCTGGACATTTATTGGACAATGACATCATTTGTTTACTCTTGAACATTGGCAAAAATCAAACATTTCCCCTACTTTGAGCTCCATTTTAAGGTCCTTTTCATATTAAAGCCAATCAAAATCACCTCTATTTCTATAATATGTTTTCCATTCTATCAAATGGGACTATGAAAATGAGAATATAAGCATAAAAACTACACGAAAATACACCTCAAAGTCAGTGTTTTAATCCAAAAACACGGTCAGTTTTGTTTTTTTTCTCATTATGCACTGCTTGCTGCAAGATTTTTTATACTGCACACACTGACCACACAAACCCATTCTCTCACATGTGGGCCTACCAGTTTTCTTCCACTTGATTTAAAGCCGCTAGAATTTTTGAGTATACAGTAGGGCCCCAGTAGGTTCCAGGCTACCGCCGTAAACCGAAAATCGCCATGAAGTGGAATACCCCTTTTTTCCACTTATAAATGCATATAAATACTAGCTAACAAATTTACACTAACATATATTAAGTTAGCAATATAACTAGGCATTAAAAACAATAAAAAAGTAAAATACACATATAGTACACTTATTATTTACCTTAAAATATTTGTAGTCTAAATCTATGATGAGACAAGTAGTATTTATTGTAAGAAATCAAGTGTGGTGTAATATGGTAGCCAGCCAGGCCAACCCACCCACACAATATTCTAGATAAGAGATAAGAGAAAAGATTCCGTTCGGATTTTTAACCCCGGAGGGTTAGCCATCCAGGATAACCCAAGAAAGTCAGTGCGTCATCGAGGACTGTAACTTATTTCCATTGGGGTCCTCAATCTTGTCCCCCAGGATGCGACCCACACCAGTCGACTAACACCCAGGTACCTATTTGCTGCTAGATGAACAGGACAACAGGTGTAAGGAAACGTGTCGAAATATTTCCACCCGCCGGGAATCGAACCCGGGCCCTCCGTGTGTGAAGCGGGAGCTTCAGCCACCAGGCCACCGGGCATATACAGCTCACTCATTACTTACCTTAAAATATTTTTAGTCTTAATGTAGGGTCAGAGGTGAGTAAACAAGATAAAACGAATAAATGTGAGAGAGAGAGAATCAGTACATGAGGGAGGACAGGTGCAGAGATATGTAAACAAACCAGGTACACCCAAGTTTTGTAAACAAACCAGGTGTACACATCTAGTTTGTGTACAAGCTGCATTGTATACAAGTTGTCTCTACATTGATACGGTAGAATAAATAAAGAAGAACACTCCCATTCTCATGTAACACCATTTTTAGAAGAAATGATGCTCTGAGTGAAGGCAATGGAAATAAGTCACTCTGACTTTTTTTGGGTTATCCTAGGTTCTCTAAACATATGCTGTTATGTATGATACTCTATGTAACTGTATTTGTGTATACCTGAATAAACTTAATTACATACAAAAGGAATAATTTTCTACAGTTACCCCCAGTAACACATTTTCTCTGATGTTGGACTAGAGAAAATGTCATTCTTGCAGTCACTCGTACAAGTCTGGCTACCACATCTCGTATTTATTTTATTATTATTATCACACTGGCCGATTCCCACCAAGGCAGGGTGGCCCGAAAAAGAAAAACTTTCACCATCATTCACTCCATCACTGTCTTGCCAGAAGGGTGCTTTACACTACAGTTTTTAAACTGCAACATTAACACCCCTCCTTCAGAGTGCAGGCACTGTACTTCCCATCTCCAGGACTCAAGTCCGGCCTGCCGGTTTCCCTGAATCCCTTCATAAATGTTACTTTGCTCACACTCCAACAGCACGTCAAGTATTAAAAACCATTTGTCTCCATTCACTCCTATCAAACACGCTCACGCATGCCTGCGTTTATTTATTCTACTGTGGGGTGTATTTATCGTTTTTATATGTTATGTATCGTGTTTGTTATATAATTTTGAAAAAATATAGATGGATTAATGAAAATGTGTATATTAACGTAATATACGACATTTAATGAGATTCGGTGATACTGTAATTTTTAATACTAATATGGCATCAGTTGTACAAGGTGTCTGGTTCCCACATCTCGTATCTGTTTATTTATTCTATTGTGGAATGTATCTATCATCTTTATATGTTATGTATCATGTTTATTATATAATTTTTAAAAAATATCATAGATGGATTAATGAAAATATGTACAGTGGACCCCCGGCTACCGAACGCATCAACGTTAAATCCGCCTAACAAAGCATTTGAGCGTAAAAATTTTGGCCCGCCTAATGATAAAAAAACTTGCCCAATGTGATTTGTCCCGAACCTGTCCGTCCAACCTGAGCACCTCAGCTGCCCTGCCATCATTGTTTACACTCCAGGGTGGCCGGTTTCAGGCATACATTCGATACATTTTGTATTATTCCATTGTTTATAGTGCTCGTAACTGCTAATTAAGCCACCATGGGCCCAAAGAAAGCTACTAGAGCCAACCCTGTGGTAAAAAGGGTGAGAAATGCTACTGAAATATTATCGTACCACGGTCAGCTGCTGCTGCACCACTGTCAGCTGTACTACTCGAAGATGTAGAGACTGTTGTTGGTGTGGCTTAACAAGAAACAATTACCGAGAAACAATTAACCCCAGAGGGTTAGCCACCCAGGATAACCCAAGAAAGTCAGTGAGTCATCGAGGACTAACTTATTTCCATTGGGGTCCTTAATCTTGTCCCATAGGATGCAACCCACACCAGTCGACTAACACCCAGGTGAACAGGAAAAAAATGCCTGGAACTAGTGCTCATATTGGTGAATTTAACACCAGCAAAGGTTGGTTTGAGAGATTTAACAATCATAGTGGCATACACAATGCGATAAGGCATGGCAAAGCTGAAAAATTCCAACCCCAACAAGTGTTCAATTGTGATGAAACAGGCCTGTTCTGGAAGAAAATGCCAAACAGGACCTACATTACTCAGGAGGAAAAGGCACTCCCAGGACACAAGCCTATGAAAGACAGGCTAACTTTCTTGTTTTGTTGTAATGCTAGTGGGGATTGCAAAGTGAAGCCTTTACTCATGTATCACTCTGAAAATCCCAGTGTGTTCAAGAAAAAGTGTCTCATCACTCATCAATTCTCTTCAGTAAAAGTAAGTGTCATTTTAACATTTATTTATATAGTTATTGTGCATGTCTCATTGTTTTCTTTGTAGGGAATGTATATTTCATGAAAAAAAAAACAAATTTTTTTAATACTTTTGGCTGACTGGAACGGATTAATTGGATTTTCATTACAGTGGACCCCCGCATACCGTTGGCCTTACATAACGTTAAATCCGCATACCGCTACATTTTATTGCCAAGATTTTGCCTCGCATACCGCTAAAAAACCCGCTCAACGCTGTTCGTCTGAGATGCGTCTATGTGCGGCCTGAGCCACGCTCACGTTCCGCCGGTGGCATTGTTTACCAGCCAGCCTCCGCGGTAACATCCAAGCACACAATCGGAACATTTCGTATTATTACAGTGTTTTTGGTGATTTTATCTGCAAAATAAGTGACCATGGGCCCCAAGAAAGCTTCTAGTGCCAACCCTACAGCAATAAGGGTGAGAATTACTATAGAGATGAAGAAAAAGATCATTGATAAGTATGAAAGTGGAGTGCGTGTCTCCGAGCTGGCCAGGTTGTATAACAAACCCCAATCAACCATTGCTACTATTGGTGGTACAGCTGCTGCTGCTGCTGTACCACCGTCAGCTGCTGCTGCTGCACTGTCAGCTGCTGCTGCTGCTGTAGCACCGTCAGCTGCTGCTGCTGCTGTAGCACCGTCAGCTGCTGCTGCTGCTGTACCACCGTCAGCTGCTGCTGCTGCACTGTCAGCTGCTGCTGCTGCTGTAGCACCGTCAGCTGCTGCTGCTGCTGTAGCACCGTCAGCTGCTGCTGCTGCTGTAGTACCATCTGCTGCTGCTGTAGCATCGTCTGCTGCTGCTGTAGCATCGTCTGCTGCTGCTGTAGCACTGTCAGCTGCTGCTGCTGTTGTACCACCATCAGCTGCTGC